AAGGGTGAATCGCGTCATCGAAGACGTTCTTCGCAGCGTTTGCGCTGTGACGCCGAGGCGCTGGAGTGCCATGTTGCCACTCTTAGAGTTTGCACTGAACAATGCAGTGCATTCGTTTACTGGCTACACGCCGTTCGACGTGAACGGGCTGATTCACCCTTGCGTCCTGCTGACGTCGCCATCTCATGACTCAGGGCTTGGTGGGGGAAGAATAGCTTAACGGCTATCTGATATCAGCCCCCCTCACCATCCGCAACGACGTCGGTGACTTCTTGTCTACCAGACTGAGTGTCCTACGACACGTTCGCAATGCGATGGCTGAAAGCCAAGACCTTCAGAAACAATGCAGATGAATACGGAAAGCTTTAAGGTCGGAACCATGGTTTTATTAAAAATCTGCCTATGCATGCAGCCTCTCCTATCTTTCGGACGAAGCTTCGTCCACGGTTTATCGGACCTTTTAAGGTTGCGGCCATACGGGGCCTAGCGTATACGCTGAACCTTCCGAAACAGATGCGAACCCACCCGGTGTTTTACGTGGGATTGCTCAAGCCGTAACGGGATCCGGCGCAAGTGAACGTAGAAGCGCTGGCGCCGGAGCGGATCCCACGGGCCCTCGGCCACCCAGAAGTTAATTCTGAGCACGGAGTGCAACAACATCCATTTCCAATGGCGCCAATCACTCTACCGTCGCACGCAGCAACGCAATCGCCTGCTCCACGGCTAGGAGTCGCTCCGATAGAGCGCGGTAGTCCTCAAGGCGAGGCAGCTGTCGCACGACGTGCATTAAATCTTCAAGAGCGTTCGTACAGCGATATGCTACTTCAGCATGACGCTCAGCGGAGCTCTGATCACGACGGACTTCCTCCTCAGGAGCTCGAAGAGCATCATGAGTCACCCACCGCCCGCCACTGACTCATCTCGATGAGATCGGTGACGTCCACTATCACGTGGAACGTCTAGTTAGACAACGTCGTCACCAGGGTCAGACCCAATATCTGGTGAAATGACGGGGATATCCCGGCTCCAAAAACTCGTGGAAGTTCAAGGCGCCACTTTGGCCAGATTGCTTAGTCTCCGTGGGCGCTTTTTGATCGGATAGATCAGGATGTCCCCGTCATCAGACGCTCCGCGCTTCCCCGGATATAGCCAAGGAAGTAGGCGGGCCATGCGCTGAGCTCAAGCGGTGGCCCTGAGCTCTTGTGGTTGCAGTCATAGAGCTCGCGGGAGCGTTTGGGGTTGACCCATAAATCGCAGAGCGACAATCCGAAGGAAGTCGACGGCGTGCCTTGAGTTTGGCAATCTCAAATCGGAGGTGTCGCTCCACACGCACGTCCACTACCTTGTGGCTCAACCGTAGATTATACAGTGAGGAAACTTTCCGGTGCCGTTGCACCCATCGCTCAAAGAGCGCTTCGTCATCTGTAGCGCTTTCGTCAGGAGCGAGCACTCCAGGTATGGTCCGCATTGCGGGAACTCGAGAGCCACCTGATTGAGTACTCAGACGAGTGCGATAAGCTTCCATGGAAATTGTTGTGGAACCAAGAATCGAGTTCAAATAGCTTTCTGTTGGGCAAGTTCATCTTCCGTTCTGGCCAGGGGCCCGATGATGTGAACGCGTAACGCTCGAGTTACTGCGTCCTTCGCTTCCGAAGCGGGACCCGCGGGGCGAAAGCCATATTCCACACGAGGGTCAATGACCGACCA